CAATTACAGAGTGTATACTGGGGGTAGCATGAACAAAGATCTGTTTTTTATATAAAAATAAAAACCTTTACGAAAAAAAAAGCCAGACAATACTTGCAGTACACTGGCAGAGGAGTTTGTAATGACAAAAATTATAATACCAATTTTTTTTTTTTTGTCATTGGAGACGAATGTGTATCTACATAACACAAACTATATGTTTATTATCTGAAGTCACAAAATTCAGGCCTTATAGTAGTAACACTGAACTTAAATTTGAGAACCCTTCTAGATAACAAAAATGCTATGGCGTTCTTTTGACGACTGGTGAATGGATAGCCAGATTCCTCACAGTCTTTTAAAGTCGCGGTGAACAAAGACAAATTCATTAGAAGTAAATGATTCCCAGACCGTTGGATGTGATAATTTCCATTCTCACTCATACATATACACAGATACAAGTCTCCAAACAAAGAACGGTTAGATTACATGCACATTTGTAAAAATTGAAACATTCAGATAAATTGAAAACCGGTGACGAGATGCGACAAGGGCATTCACACAATCAACCAATGCTAAAGAAGCTTTGTAGCAAACGTGTGTTGTAACACGCATCATTGCAAAATTACTTGAGTATTGTGGCTTGACGACTGAGCTGTATTTTATCAGGCGTCGCCGCGCAGGTTCAATTTGTAGACTTATGGATAACGCAACGTCTATAGTATGTAACTCGTCTGACACCATTTATTGTCAACTGAATAAAGTTTAGAACAATACGAAAAACTACACTCTTGAGCTCGTGAGCTCGTGAAAACTCCAAGAACGTAATCAAACAGTAATAAAATTGGCGCACTGAAACTGATATGCAGCCTCTTTCTGGTATCGGTCTCTGATTGGTCATTTATCGGTAATATTTAGCGTTCTCGCTGCATCTACCGACAAGAATCAAGACATCACAAAGAGAAAAATATAAACATCAAGCGAATGGATTAGAAGAAAGATAACAATACCAACAAAATGAACGTAATGACAGTGGAGCCAAATAGAGAAAGAGTAGAATTCACACAGCATCAAGTTACTACTGACAACTAGTTCCACAGACTATACATATACCAACTTAAGCTTAACTCGTATTTTACCTCCATTTCCTGCTTGTATTTAACGAGCGTATCCCGGTACCATTCGCTATTATCCTTTGTGATTTCTCTTAAAGCCACATCAGGAGATGAAAGCGCATCAAACAATTCCAGCTCGTCCCCGTTATCAATGGCTGTATTTATGACGTCTAACTGCGTGAGTACTTTATGAGAGGAGAGAAAATATGTATAGCAATAAATGAATGAATGAATGATTAATTAATCACAGAATTGATTTTCTTTTCTTTTTTATAAAGAAAATTTGTACAAATACATTATACCAGAGTTGTATTAATATTTCAATAGTGTTTCATAGTGGTCAGGCCTAGAAAAGAAAGTTTCTGGTCAGTGCAAGCACTGGTGTTGATCTTTTAAATTATTTTGCTCCTGTACATCATCCTGAGTTGACAAATTGGAAAAACCTGCAAAATGTGTGCGTCATCAAATATATATATATTAAATTAGCAAATTGCCCTACCACCCCAGTTAAAAAAAAAAAAAAAAATTTTGACCAGAACAATTTTTTTTTTGGCATGGCCTGTTTCTCCTGTCTATAAAGTAAAAATCTAAACTAATAAATAAAGTTTTTCCAAGAAATTATTTGCGTTTCCCCCCCATTAAGATACAAGTGTATTATTTCAAATTTGAAAAGTTCACGATAAATTTAACCACATAGTATTAAACAATACATTTTTGTGAATTGATATCTGGTGTAGCCATAATAAATTTCTCATTGTGTTCCAAAATAGACAGCGAGATAGACAAAATTAAAACACTAGAGATGCATTTTTTTTTAGCCCTGTAAACGTACATGTCTTCTCGAATCAGTGCTTCAGTCAGTGAAGTGCGCCCTCATTTCATAGTGTATCAGAAATTGGAAATGTTATCTTTCATTTGATCAACTATATCACGTAATTAGGCCTATGCACTTCTATTAGAGCAATGATGATGAATTTCAAATCTGAAACCAATCAGTCAGTGCTTTGCTCAATGAAAGCAGATTCATTATATTATAAATCTTGATTTCACAAAAGCGACAACCCCACTTTATAAGGGATGACATGAACAAAGCGCAGAAGTCAGACAACACCTGTTCTTTTGTAAATTGGTTCATTGATGCATATAACAGTACAATAACTTTTGTTACAAATGTCAAACAATCATTTATTATAATTATTAGACTGATTAATTCATATTTGATGTTAGTCATCCTATACAATACACACACATCATTTATCTGAAGAGGACGAAGCATGATCAAACAATGGGCAGATATCGGGAGTGAAATCTGATAACAGAACAACGCATGGCTATGACTTACAGTTGACTCTGTTCAAGTTGCCTTGGATTTCAGCTTGCGTCAACAATGTATCGTATACATCACGTTCCTCGAAAGTGTCACCTTCGCGTAATGACTGAAATAAACGATACCATTACCAATGGCGGGATATGAACAAAACATCCTCCCGAAATGAAGGCAAATTATGTAATCTTGAATATGGATTACATAATTCATAATTTTATCTTAAATATATCGATTACAACAAAAAGAATCTCGTTCAATGATAACATCAGCCTGAGTATGATCAATGACATAATTGATTTGCGTCTATGTCTTGAAAAAAAATAACTGAAGGAATGCCCTTAAGAAAAATTATCTAAAAGTAAGTCGACACTGGTGATTAATTGCAGATGCTAACAATTCCTATATAATCAAGTTTAATACACAGTCTCTAACCTTATTCATCACAGCCTCTGCTTTACTCTGCTTAGCTGTAAGTAAAACATCCTGATAACTTTCATCATTTTTCTGTCTGATATTCAACAGATGCGCAGCTGGATTTTGTAAAGCAGCGTAAGTGTCCGGGAATACACCACGATCAATACATTCGTTGATGGCTATGATGGCTGCATGTACTGATAACGAAAGAAAACAATATTTAAAACATGAAAACACAAATATCAAATGACAACAAGGACAGTCATGTAAAACAATGCATTTTACACTTAACGTACACGTCTCATATCAAACAAAACACGGCTCGACGACCACCCTTTAAAATTCAAAACCTTAGGAGCAAGTCTCGTGTATCGGAATATAATAATAAGGACTGGGGGAAAAACAAAAAATCACAATAATTGAAATTAGTCCATGACTAGTGCAGGCATATCTTAAGCATCTTTTGGCGAGTGTTATGTTCTATGTGTAGTTTACATTCTACATACTGTTAATGTGCAATGTTCTATGTACAGTTTATGTTGCATTTTATGTATACAATGCATGATGTGGCATATATATTGTACATATTAATATGATAAACACATACTGCACATTATCATGTATGTTCTATGTGAGTGTTAATTACATTTTAGGTTTAATGTGCATGACATGCTTCTATTTTAAATGTTACATTCCATGTTCAGTTTATGTTACAAAAAAAAACATGTACTTACATGCAGCTTCATCAACAGGCATCTGTAAAATAAGTACACATGTCAAATAAAACATTTTTGAGACAAGCTGAATGAAAAGTTTCTAGGAACTTTCCATCGCGACTCCAAGCATTTGTTATTAGTAACATACTACTAGGCATAGCACTGCAATGTGTTTTACACATAATCCGAACACATTTAGCGATATGACCGTAATGACAACAGCCTTTTAATCAATTCAATTTAGCACGACGACACTTCGTCACAAAAACAAAGATTAAAATTGTGAACATAAAAGAGTTTTTAAAAATGTGGAGCAATCCCAGAAATTTATTATTCCATTTTTCATAAAGAAATTCACACCTAGTTCCACTCTATCTCACTGAAAGTCAGCAACTTACCTCATTTGCTAATATTCCTCCTATTTTGCTGAATGCCGGCATCTGTATTCCATATTTTTCCAATTCTTTCCTCATAGCACTGATCTCTTCATCTACACACAATAACACGAGAGTAGATCAGTAATTTGAAAATTGGAAATTTAAAAGTAATGTCATAAAAAAAATGTCAACTTCTATCAAGGGATTTAAGGAATTTTATCTGTTTTCTGATATACTAGTACATACTTGTATCCAAGAGCAAACAGGAAAAACACTTGTAGATAATGCAGTGCATCTCTCTGAATGTGTCATTCTCAGCTTCATATTTTGGTCATACAATAATACATGCAATTGCCTGTCTATAAAGTGCTCACCCTCAGACAAACCTACCTGTAAAACTGATTTTCCCATACAAGTTCTGTATCTGGGGTGCAATGCCCAATTTAAACAGGAAAAGACTAAAAAAAAAAAAAAAAAAAAGACATGGATCACGGTCAAATGAATAATGAATAATATTACAAAATAGGCATACATTTGTACATAAGCTTATACATGTAGAAAAATTATTATTTATTAGAAGCGCATATAAACCCGAAACAATATGTAATGTATGCTTGTTCATTAAAATACAACTTATTTGACTATAGACTCACCTCTGTCATTTACATACCGGTATATACTAAATTGAGTAAATCATAGACCTTAGTTTTCTAAGGTCTATAAGTAAATACAGTACATGTAACAAAGTGTATGCAGTAATATTGGGTTGCACGAGTGACCATATAATATTTCACTCATGACTGTACATGTACAGAAAGCAATGTAAATTGAAAGAGAGGAACATTTATACTGAGTCAATGCCCCTTCTCTTTCTTCCTCTCTCTCCCTCACCCATGTTCACTATGAAAATGATTCAAAAGTGAAAACTTATATCGACAAGAACACAATATTATATTTAATTTTCTTGTAATAAAAGTTAATTTGCAGATATACACAATGCGAGAATGGTAACCCGATATTACATTATAGCAGCTCTTTAATTGCCTGATCTGATTGGCAGTATGTTTAATTATGCAGGCCATAGTGAAATAGACCATATACATTGTATACCAGGATTTTTTGTCTTTAGTAGACACCATAGACAGAGTAAAGGTAAATCCTCCTGTCAACAGACATCAACAACAATATTATTTTGCACTATACTACAAATAGAGCGTATTGGAGAAAAACGCAACCCTCCGGTATACTATGTTCCATGAGATTTTTTTTTTTGGTGGTTAAATTACGCAAACTGCGGTCAAAACAACAGTTGTTGTCTTGCAGTGGTCCTTGTGAACACATCAATCCTCAAACAAATTATGTTAATTGAAATGATTTTACACACCTCAATGTTGACGCCTGTATCGAGTCATGAAGTGATATCTCATGGTATACCCGACTGTGACAGTGATTTATTATTATGAAGTACCGGTATCGGTAATTTCATTTAAACCATAAATATGACCATGCATAGTTGGCGATTCAATACAGCCAAACCTTTTTACCCTACTAATGATTTTATTAAATGCAAGTAAACATACTTTGCATTAATCCTAGATTCTGGGACAACGGGTCAATTTGTTATGCACAATTTGTCTGCACACCTTCCTATCACTTTGAACATGGAAATGCTATTGCCATCTCATCTCCATTTATTAAAATTAACAGTATTAAAGCACAAAATTAGGTCATAATGGCGACCAACCGGTGGGGGGGTTCAGCAATAGACTAATGGACAGTATTGTATTGTAAGAACCAATCATATCACTGGAATTCATATTACATAACCATAGAATATCACACGTGTATTTCTCAAAGTGGCAGAATATATTGACAAAGCTATACGTGGATTAAACACATCGTACAACTAAAATACTGTGAACTGATTAATTTTTACTGCTAGAAATTTTCACGATTTCAAAGTATTCATAAAGACGGTAAATTTTGCACAAGTCACAGATACTATGTCGTAGGACCCCAATCAAAATTTTAAGCTTCATAATCCACTGATTTTTTTTTTCTATGGCAAAATTAAAACGGTTTACAGTATAACAATTGAAGAAACAATAGAGGTAGCTGAGCTGAGTAAACGATTCAACATAAGAGGGGGTCAACCATGAATGATCAGATGTGGTGTACTGACCAAACATGATATACCAAAGTGAAATTCACTTATGATGGGCTTCATTTGCCAATAAACACAACATATGGCAAGAGCTTGACACTGTAGTTTGAAACTGAAATCTAAAACCTTCGCATTAAACTTGACCTTGTATCATTTCTATGACAATATTTGTAGATTTCCATATCCCAGGCAGACATTTGAATTTAGGATTATCTTATGCTAAAAACCTGTTGCACATTATGCAGATTATATACGTCAGACTTGTAATTAAAAATCAATTCAGAACAAACGAAATAGATGTGGATTGATATTGACACTGAGGTAATACGAGAACTCAACAGGTTTGCACAAGTACTATACAGTATTGGATTACTAGGGAAAAATAACAATCGACTGGAAGCGAATAAAGTGAGCGTACTTGGTATGCAAGCCTAGTACCCCTTTAAGTCATCAATACTATACTTGTACACTGACCAGCAGAATACCGTCATTTCTACAAATAACGTGCATTTATAGAAACAAATTTTACAATGTGTAATGCAAGATACCTGGCAAGAAATTATAACCAAAATTGGGATATGCAAGCTGGATCATGTACTGTACTTGCTTTATTAGAATCTGAGCATTTTCGTATTATACATGTATGAAAATGACCGAGACGAGTCTACGATCCAAATTATATATTTCATATATATATTTCATAAAGAAATGCAATTTTATGTGGGCTGCTATTGGAAACAGACGTTTAACCAGGCACCTGTTTACCTAATCATTTTAGACAGATTGAAAATTTCATTTTACAAACCTGTCCAATTTTCATTGAAAATTACCAGTAAATTACAAAATAACCATAAATCAACAAAAATTAGACTACAAGTCTATGGTTACAGACTAGGGACTGCTATTTTTCATTTCGATAAGTTTTTTAGACAGGTACTTTCTATTTTCTGGCTATAGCCCTCATAAGAAATGCGATTTTAATAAAGAATATACGGTTTACTTGTTTACAAATTATTAAATCGTCATCGCTGTAAATTTTAAATCGACCCGAGAGGATAGGGCAAAAACATTTCATTAAAGTTCATGTAACATTTTCACTGCCTCAATCATGTATCTTCGATAATTTCTTTGTTATCTTTTGACATGCATGTACATTAAATTTCCCACTTGCTATACCGGTAGGACTTGATCATGAATATTGACAAAACTTGACTTTGGCATTCAACGGGTAAAAGGCACTCTAGCAGTATGAGAGAGCACTGACCTCTTCTACATGTGCTGCATTCTGGTGATAACCCCCATAATAACCCCACTACCATCAAAACCAGTTGGGAACCTTTCCAAGAAAGTGTCTACTTAAAATATTTGCCACATAACAGGCTCACAGGCCAGAATAAATTTCTGAATGTATTTGAGCTATGTGCACTGCAAAACATTGAAGGAATATGTTCACTATTCAAGATCTCAAACCGTCAACATTAAATATTCTCAACAAAACTGATATGGAATTTTTTTAGACTTTTGTTTCCAGCCATTCATCTAAGCATGCAAGCAATACCAGACAGTGTTTACGAGTGGCGATCAAACGATTTCAAGAGGAAAAGAAATCAGATTACGGTAATTACACATATAGAGAGAGAGAGAATGGGAACAATAATTATCGATTGAAAGATTTATCAGATCATAATAATGTAGATGCGCTGTCTATGAACTATAATCTGTTTATTACCATATGTGGGACCGAGTACGTCATATTTTGGTGTATGAATGTGCGAATTATTCGTCTGTCAACGTTTAAATTTCAACAAATTTCAATGTGTCAAAAGTTGCCGATCATGATCTCTCCATGTTGAATTTGAAAAAAAAAACTGGGTAAGTCAATAACTATGACACCAGAAGGAGCATTTCACCAGTTTCTGTGATCAAGACTGAAGGTTAAATACTTTTGAATTGTGTTCCAGACTGTAAAGACTTAAATATTTGGTTGGCGACTTGCAATCACTTGAGCCGATTGGCAATTTCCAGATATTGTATTTTCTGATATGCACTTATTTAAATACCATGCATACCAGTCCTAAAAATCTAGTGAAATCACATCAAGTTTATGATCTGAAATTGATCAGAGGTGAAGTTCAGAGTTTTCTAAGATTATTATTATTTTTTTCACAAATTTTTCATATTATAAGCCATGTGAAGTACATATGAACACGTAATCCATATACCATATTTGCTCCGCTAGAAACGCATATATCAACCTGTGGTAAATTAAAGAACTGTTTCTATTGTTAAAGCATGTAATGATTCTGATTAGCTATCGAACAATTACGCAACAAAATCAACCCATAGACAAAAATTGGAAAGTTTTTACACCACAGGAAGAAAGTTTCTATGCGTAACTACGGAACTCAAAACTTGTCTAAATGATGATGTACCTGTCTCTATAAGTAATTAGATAAATTATGGCATTATTTTAAAATAAAATCTTCATTCATTAGCTCATCAATCTGAAAGCCATTTTTTTTTGGACATTAGTCAATTTTAACTACCCAATTTGATCAGTAAAAAAAAACTTACTATCTTTATTCATCAGGTGGACAGGCCTCAATTCCCGGCCCTTGACAGTGATTTATGTGGCAAAACACTTCCATAAGCAGGAAGCACAATAAATGCAATTTTAAATAATCAGCAAAAAAGATACAGTAATCTTATTTCATAAGAGGAAATAAGACAAACCTACCTTAATGCATGGATACAATAAACAACACGTGGCATATTTTTTCGATCGTACAGATCCGTCGTTTCTGGGTAAAATATCTGTAACGATAAGGTATGCAATTTAACAAATACACACAATATGGTAATAATTCTGCACCTTGTTGTCATAGTGATGGGTACAGTTTACACATTCATGTTCTTTTAAAACAAGACTTTATTATTGTTACAAAGTTCATCTAGAAAACCTAGCTTATGCTAATACTTATTTAAATGATTCAGCTAAGGCATTGTTGCATTCCTTTTGCCATAAACCTTGCCCTTGCATTACCGGTAGTAATCCTTTCCATTATTGACAAAAATACTTTCCCATTCATTTTAACCTTTTCAACACCAGTTCCCTATTTTCATCACAATTTCACAAAATAGTCTAGATTATAGTCTGCACTTTCCCTTATAAAGAAGATTGAGACAAAAATAGCCAAATTTTTTTGAGTAAAAACTGAAATTTTTTTTCTGTTGACTTCAAAAATTAGGGTTCTTTTCCAGAAATATTGAAGAAAATAAGAAAAAGTACAGAGAATATTGGCAAGAAAGTCAGGTGGTGAAAAACTTAAAGTTTGTCTTGGAGTAGACAAAACAATATTAAACTCAGATTATTCACTTGATCGTCACTACATTAAGTATTAAGTATTAAATTCTGTACTTCCATAAAAACCTGATTTTAAAATAGCAGTAGGATGTAAATCCAAATAACTAGTGACAAGTTACAAGAATTTACTTTGCAAAAAACTGATTTAAAGTTTAATGCATTGGCAGCCATATTGTTGAAATCTCCATACAATATTTCTGAAACGCAACTGGTTAATTCTTCACAAGTAATTGAAACTTGAATAGGATATCAGACAAAAAACAACTGAAAGCCCATTTGTTATCATGAGGAACTCAATAGTGATCCGGTTCTGGGCGTATGCGCAACAGGATATAAGCTCTACTGTAATCAGACCAATTTACATGTGATAAACCACATATGGAGTTTCTTTATAACAACACTGCTAATAAAGTCAACAAACGATTTTGATATATCTACAAGTTCGCACAGATAGACCAGGAAACTGTAGATGTTACAGAACTGTAAAATTGAACAGGAAATAATTTTACTCCAAACAATTCAACTACCGGTACTCCACACATTTATATTGTTTATTGTGCAGAAGAGCCATAAACTTTATAGCAACACAATTAAATTTCTAATCAATATCTCTCTAGAATTATATACACTGTTTGTATTTTGTCTATTAAATTGTAATAATTGCAAATTATCAAAAATCTTTTATTAGAATTATTAGACCAGCATGTTAGCAAACTTGCCCATTAATTAGCTGATAACTTTGGTTTTAAAGAGATGTAGATAAACCAACACAAACAAACTTGCATACTTGTAAGTTCAGTAAAACCTCATAAACTGGTTTTAAAAAATGTTTTTTTTAAGAGAAGCATGGTAATTTGGTAGTGACAAAAACAATGGGAGATATTACAATCTAAAGTTGTCAGTAAATTACTTCTGAGACTTGTTAATATTCATTAAATTCAATAATACTCAGATTAGAAAACATGATGTAGTATTTTGTGGTGAATAGCAGAAGTCAATGATAGTGGCGATAATCACTATTTACAATTTTTCCCCATATAAGGTTTTCCAAAAAAAATGTTGTCAATCTCATTTTGAATTGATTGATTAATTGTTTAATAAGTTTTAAAAGTATTAGAAAGTAATTTTAATTTTTTGTAAATAAGTTGAACATGTGTAATGTAATGTATTTATAGTAATTGTACATCCATGATGTCGTGGTTATTTTATTGTAGTCTAGCCAAACGAATAAATGAATATTTAATTAAGAGACTATTGTACTTACTTTCGGCAATCCAACTTCCTCCATGGCTCGTAACCAGTGATTTATGTTATCTGTATGGCGGAAGTGTAAACCTCGCGTCTGCAATAACAAAAGAAATAGACGTTCATTGTGTTCTATTTTCATATTTCCTTCTATTGTTGAAGAAGAAAGACAAAGAAGCAAAATAGAAGGAATGTACGTCAGATTAGGCATTACAGGTTAAGTAACATACTTTAGATATTTATGACACAAACACAAGAGCATGTACATGAACCAATAATTTATTTGGCAAATACACCACAAGACCATCGTACACAAAAGTGAGACAATGCATAACAGACTGATAAGATGGTCCCTGGTGCCGCCCCCAAAATGTAGAACAAAGCAGGTGTAAACTAGCTGGCTTACAATTTCTAAACTAAAATACAAACTAGACTAAGACTGAAAACATGTTGGTTGGTGCAGCGTAGCTGCATGATGTTAGTATGGAATGGCAGATTGCAGCATGACTGCAACTGAAAAGTATAGGCAGCGAGTGCTGCGGCTACACCATGGTTATGCAGCGGGGGCTGCATGAAGTTAAGAGGTTATGGGTAGAGGCAGCGGGGGCTGCAACTACCGAGTTTAGACATTGACGCAGCGAGGGCTGCCTGTTAAGTCGTTAATGAGATATTAGTAATTACAATAATAAAATTAACAATAATAATAAAACCCACGCAAAATATACCTAAGAAAAATATGAATGATCTTGGGGGGATATGAGCTAATCCCATAAGCGAAGTCCCCCGAATTGGTGTTAATGCCAGCCTAATGGGGGAGAATGGGGATGGTGGCGGGTGAATAAAACGAGAATAGCTGAAGAACTGATTTCTGAGGAAAAACAATACGTTCCATTCTAGTGTTTAACTTCCTTGGGTTTTAAAATACAGCGCATCCAGCTATTGGCAACATAATAAAAATAAAACCCAGGGAATAATTAAGCCATATATATGCAGTACCAAAATACAGCAAAAAACATTGAAGAACTCCTTTCATCTTCTTGTGCAGATCTTTCATTTAAATCATATCTTCAAAAGTGCCAACAATTTATGTGTAATCCAGAATAAACAGTCTGAGTGAGTCTTATTTCTCACCAAATAAAATAAAACAAAAAACTATGAGGGGAACACAAGATTGTACTTCATTTTCCCCTGAACATTACAGACATTATGCACTCATGAAATTCAACTACAATAAATTATATTTTCAGTAAATATTTGGTTCAAAGTCTGGGATTTTATGCAATGCAGTTACAATGGATGTGTGATTAATGTCAACAATCAGAAATTTCAGAAAAACGTTTGACCCAAATACTGAAATTAACAATGTGGCGTTATCCCGAAAACCATAATTATGTTCAGAAAATGTGACGAGCCCAATTTTTTTTCAGTGAAACATTTTGTATTCCAAAATACACTTGATAATGGTTTCCTAGTGACGGATTTGCATTGAGGAGGGAGTGGGGGACTGATTGCGGTGCTACAGCAAGAGTATTTATATTTATTGATTGACACAATACAGACTTTGGAAAGTACAGCAGTAAGGTCACCCGGTTATATCCAGTGTCTCTTTGGTACACCAGTCATACAGCCCCAAACCTTGAGCAAAACAACATGGGTGAGCAGCTTCATAAAGATTATAAAGAACCAATTGTATGTACTCTGGATGCATCACAGGCGTGGTGTTTAAGACGCATTGTACTTTAGATGAACTATCTTCAAGATTCCTAGTTATGAGAAACAAGAGTGCGTGACCACAAATGACCCCGGGCGAGGTCATATCAAATGCACGCCCACTAATGGTTGATTTGAAGCCAACAAACACAGTAATGTCTAAGTGCATGAAATACTTTTGAAAATTAATTTCAAGTCACAGAGAATTCAAAAATGTTAGATCCAAGGGGTTGTTAAACCTTAAACTTAAAGGCATAACATTAGCACCATAGGCCACTATTGTATAGCAAGCATTGGTGTTTTAGGAGAGGCTCTGCGAGTCTAAAATCAACAAACGTATATCCTACCTGTTGCCAACATTTACTTGGGAGATTATCAAAAATGAGACAATAAATGCCAGAATTTAAATATTCAAGAGTGACAGCAGAGTTGACCTTTAGTGAATGTGTTAATTAATCAACGTTGCTGTCCATTTCCTGAAATGTAGAAGACATTTCTCAATTTCACGATAATTAAATAACTGTATATTTCACCTTGCCCAAGAATGCGTAAATTACAAAAAATTGCGAAAATCACAAACAAAATAAAATATTGGCCATCAGACAATCCCTCAGACAAACATTGCTACTGCATATGCACTATTGTATTCACTAACATTAAAGCTTACAGGAGAAGTACAGATTGTTGTAACATGCTTAGTAACTTTTAGAAAATGTCTGATTAGCAGATCAATTTCTAATTTGTTTTACCTCTATTGCTACTTTAAAATTGATCAATATTTCACACTTTCTGATTATAATTGTTACACCGCAAACTTTCGTTACATGTTACAGCTATTACTAAACTCAACCTCCATATCGTTCTCCTTTTGTACATAAACAAATCTGAGTTTGGATGACGTTGCAAACCCTTCCAGCGACGACGGAACAAATTAGTTAATTATAATTGGAATATGGCAGGTAAAAAGGTCAACGTTGCTTTACTCGTGCGTGATATTCATTCATGTGTGTCCGCTCTGATACAATACCAGACCAGGTGTCTGTATTTCACTTTTCAGCTTTGAAGACAATCATGATGTATATATTGCAGTAAATATTCAGACAGTGCTCCAAATCTTTCCAAATCTGCAATCTTTCCATCGCCAAAGGCTGAAGCAAGGCACATTATTACAGTAAAATCACCTGCCCCTTTAAATTCAAATCATAGCTTCGGATGATATTGTTCACTACCTTCCCATTTCAAACCAGAGAGCATAAGATGATGCTCAAATCATTAAGAACTCAACCAATGGGAAATGTGCGTTCATTTTATAAATGCTTGGATTTCAGAGAAAACACGCTGAATGTTAGTGTAGCAATAACAACATGTAACAAAAGTTCTGGAGAATGTAATTGTTAACTTTCTTGATCTGTCTAATCCTGAACCAATGATCTGTTTGTTATTTCTTAATAATATACAATAAGAAATGAACATGTGCACCAAATTGAATGAGAAAATATAAGGTAGAAAAGATAGAAAATTCCAGAATTTGTTTAAAACAAATACCATCTGAATTTAATTAACTAAACCCCCAGAAAATTAAGTACTGTAAAACATGTTGAAAAAGAGACATGCAATTTTAGCGAATTGTGGTAAAATGACGCAATAGCGAAATGTTGATTTAGCGAATCTCTCTTGACATTGTTGATTTCCTATTTTCACAATACTTGTCTGCCGCGCGCCAAAACAAATGCGCAGTTATCACCACCATAAAAACGAAGAAAAACTGTCAAGTGTAATTAAGAAGCACCCCAGATATTTATGTTCCGGATTACTGTATACAAATTCCCAAGCCTTGGCCATTTTAAATTTATAATAAAGTCATTAGCGGCATCTTGAATTAACGAATCAGTTCTCTCGTTAAGTTCGCTAAAAAGACATGCTCGCGAAAAAGACGCGTTTTACAGAATATTGTGATAAAATATTACAATGCAATTGTTATATGTACACTGTAACATACATGTGTACGACTCAAGGTCATTTCCATGACAATAGTATTTATTCAATTAGTTTGATATAAATTATGATGTATGAAACAAACAAAAACCAAAATATTTTTGCCATGACAGATGTACATGTAGTACCTAGCTTTGAGAGCTTACATACAGACATGGCATTTTTTCAGTCAGGTGCTCGGGTTTCCCAGTGAGACTGGCCATTCCATGCATGTATTCAAATACATTCAAGTTTGAGGTGTTTCTCAGTTATAAATTTGCTCAGGGGAACACTGCTTCTTGGTCACTTGATCAATTCATGTCAAAAACTCAATATATAGGATAACACTTGGAGTGGTCAGCTTTCAAGAAAATTTACACACACTGGCACATTAGATCAGAGAAGCAGAAGAATGGCAGTCAACATACTGTAAAATTGCAACATACCATTGACTTTAGCCTTCATTCAACCACATCAACTTACAAAGCTATTGTATGATTATACTTTGTATT